AAGATTTTTATTGGGGAATTGGGGGAAGGGGAACAGACAAGTTGCTATTCTCTTGCTCCTCAGTCCAGTTGTGGAGGACACCGCCCCACTGGCCCAAGCTGGCACCATCACTGCGCTGCTCCCGGGCGAGGCAGATCAGTCGCCGGCCTCTTCTGGATGGTCGCTCACAGCGGCTGCTGGCCGCTCACGCTGGCTGCAGGCCACACACGGTAGCCCATGGCAACCCACCTGCCGTCGCCGGCGACTCAGGGCAGCCCAGCCCCAGGTTGAGCTGCCGTTCAGCATCTCAACTATAGAGGGCAGTGTCACTGGCCCTCATATGTGGGATCCAAACCGGGGCCCTCCGGCATCCCAAGCCAGCTCTTAACCAACGCGCCACTTGGCCAGCCCTAAACAAGAGTTTTTAATGGAACATTTAAGAACATTAAAGCATTCATGCTCTGTCAGACATGCTCCCTCCCACCACCTCTCAGGGTCTCTTCCCTAGAGGTAGTCCCATGAGCAGTTTCTTGTGTCTTTTTCCAGGTATAGTCTGTTTTTAGTTAAGCATATACATTTAATTATTGAGCTGCCTATAAAAAATAGGACATACTATGCTCATTATTCTGCCCTTTTTGTTTGGTTTTTGATAACTTATGAGATTGTGGCTCAAAGGTTTCCAAGTTCTTGGTTTATTCTACAAATATTCCTTGAGTGCTTTATGTGCACATTTTGGTGGTGCTGAGCACAGAGGGAACAAATAAGGTCCCAGCCTTCCAATGGAAAGAGATAGAATAAGTAAACCAAAAGACAAATAAAATAATGATGAATTGCAGTAAATGTTGTGAACAAAACAATGAAGGTGAAAACGATGAAGATAGAAAATAATTGGGTGGTGATGGCTGGGGCACCTGCTTCTCATAGGATGGCCTCTGTGAGGAGGCAACAGTAAAAGGAAGCTGAGGGAGCCAACAGTGGGGAGACCAGTGCAGAGTTCCAAGCAGAGTGGCATGTGCAAAGGCCCTGAGGTGGGAAAAGGGTTGGCATGCTGGTAAAACAATTAAGACAGGTGAGGAAGCTGGAGCAGTGAGTGGAAGGAGATAATGTTGGATGAAGCGGCAGGAGCCAAATCATGTACAGCAGTGCTTCTCAAACCTTTCAGTCTCAGGATCTCTTGACACTCTTAAAAATTATTGAGAACCCCAAAGAGTTTGTATGTACATGGACGAAATCTGTCTATATCGATCATATTAGAGGTTAAAACTGAGAGAATGTTTAATGTTTATTTATCTCATAATTAACCAACAACTAATAATTATGTAATTAGTAATTAGTAATTTATTATAAATGTTATCAATAGGTTATTTATAATGTTAATTTATATGAACAAATATTGGTAATAACTAATATTTAAGATCACTTAAAATAACAATAAGCCTAAGTTAACCTAAGTAACAGATGTTTTAGGAAAATTAACTATTTTTCCTAACAAAAAAAGTTAGGAAGGACAGTGAGCCCATTTTACACTTTTGCAAATCTCTTTAATGTCTGGCTTCACACATGTTGTAATCTTTAAAAAAAACCCACTGACCACTCAAGATTAAATGAGAGTAAAAAAAGAGAAATAGTGTCTTAATACTATTCTTCAGATACTTTGTACAAACCCCTATAGGGTCTCTCGGGACCCCCTGGGGTTCCCCAGACCATACTTTGAGAACTACTTCTGTAGGGCCTTATCAGCTATGGTAGGAATTTTGAACTTGGATAAGAAGCAAATCAAGATTTTGCAGCAGCATCTAGTGGTCTGGTGTTTGTTGCTTGGTTAAAAAAAAAAATAGCCCTCGGGATGCTGTTGCATGAAAAAGAGATTGTAGGGGCAAGAGGAGAAACCAGGGCGGTAACTAGTGTGTCCCCCAGGCAGAGGGACTGGGGGCGGTGGCCACTAAGGTGGAGAAAAACGAAAAAGAGAGTTAGGAGGCAACAAGAAAAGGACTCGCTGCAGGGTTAGATGTGGCCTGTGAGGAGTGAGAAGAATGAAATCAGGAGTGATTTCTAGGTTTCTGGTCTCCACTGGGGAGGAAGGGGTGGGGTGCTGTTTTTTCCCCCAAGATGGGCACAGCTGAGAGGGCCACAGCTCTGGGGGCTGCACCTAAATTCCACTGAGGGCATCCTAAGACGGAGCTGTCCGGAATGTTGACGAGGCAATCATCTCTAAGCCTTTCGTCTCTAAGCCTTGAGCACCAGGGAGAGGCCTAGGCTGGTATGTGGACTGGGGAGTGGATGGGGCCGAGGAGTGTTTAAGCCATGGGAGGGGCTGGGATTGCCTACAGGAGAGGAGGAACCCTTCCACCTGTGTGGCAGCAGCTCACCTGTAACTGTTTGAAATGCAAATTCTCAGGCCCAGCCCCAGACCAAGTATATCAGCTACTCTGGGCTGGAGGCCCGGGAACCTGTGTTTTCATGAGCTCCACTGGTGACTGTGAGGCAAGCTCAGGTGAGAACTCTCCTCCCGCAGGTTCACACGTACATCATCAGCTACCTGAAGAAGGAGATGCCCTCCGTGTTTGGAAAGGAGAACAAGAAGAAGCAGCTGATCCTCAAGCTGCCTGTCATCTTTGCTAAGATTCAGCTGGAACATCACATATCTCCGGGCGACTTTCCCGACTGCCAGAAGATGCAGGTGGGAAGCCGCCCACCTGGGAGGGAAGGTCGGCTTCTGTGGGCTCCAGGATGGGGCCTCGAAAACGAAAACAAGAGAAATGGATGGCAGGTTCTGGAAAGAGCCTTCCACAAATGGTTCCCTGGGAGCATGGTTTTATGAGTTAGGATAAGGGAGCAAAGAGAAAACCCCAAACAACTGTGGCTTAATTTGGATAGAAGTTCATTTCTCTCCTTCATAAAAGTCCTGGAAGATGGTCCAGGGCTGGTTAGGTGCTTTACAGAACTAGGGATCCAGTCCCCTTCTGTCTTAGTTCTCCTCCATGTCTGGTCTCCAGTCCCAAGAACCCCTCATTGCACAAAATGGCTGTGGAAACTCCAGCCCTTGTTTCTGCATTCCAGCCAGCAAGAAAAGCGGAGGTGGAGTGGGGAAGGTAATGGGATAGTCACTCTCTTTCAGGACACTTTCTACAACAGTACTGTCCAATAGTGCTTTCTACGATTCTATGCTGCGCTGTGCAATATGGTAACGTTAGAACTGAAATTTTAGGTTTTATGTAATTTTAACTCATTTAAATTTAAATAACCATGCATGGCTACTGTATTGAACAGGGCAGTTCTAGAGTTGCACATACAACCAACTTGTGTTGACATCCGGTTGTCTAGAACTTAGTCACATGGCCACGGCCAGCTGCAAGGGAAGCTGGGAAGTGTAGTCTTTCCTCTAGGTGGCCTGGAGCCCAGGTAACGTTCAGGGATTCCAGTACTGAATGAAGAGGAAGGGACAAATAGATCTTGGGGGACCATTGGAAGGCTCCTCACAGTTCAAGGCCTAGGATTAACCCGTGTTGGGGAAAGCATTGTCTGGGCGTGGTGGCAGGGGCTAAATGACGAACTACTGGAGGTGGGCAGGGCAGGAGTGACAAAATGAACGTAGAGAGAGGTTCAGGCTCAGGCATGGAGGGGAGGACTAGCTCCTGACCCAGGCTGAGGGCTGATACTCAAAGCATGTGACCTTTGGGTCTGAGATGTTTCCAGCCCAAGACTCTGAGGAATTATAGTGGAGTGAATTTCACCTTGGCCACTTATTAGGTCCATGAACTTGGGCATGTCACTTCCTTTTCTGAACCTGTTTCTTCAATTGGAAAATGGGCATCCTCTTAGTATGTACCTATTGCCATGAGTGCTGAATCAGTTAACATTTCAACCCCCTTAGAACAGTGTCTGGCACAGTGTTTGGACTAGATCTCAACCTTAGCACCACTGACATTGGGGCCAGAGAATTCTTCACTGTAGGGGGCCGTCCTGTGCATTGCAGAATGTTTAGAGGCATCCCTGGCCTCTGCTCACTAGATGCCAGTAGCATCCCCAGCTGTGACAATAAAAAATGTCTGTAGATCTTGCCAACTGTCCCCTGGGGGCGCACTATCACCCCTGGTTGAGAACTGCTAGGCTAGATAAATAGCAGCTGTTAATATTTGACATTTATTGAGTACTTTATCCAGACAAATTTATTTAGCCTTCCCCACCCACCCCCCAAACGAGAGGAGTGTTAGTTATCAATCTGTTTTACAAATGTGGAAACTGAGGCCCAGAGAGGTGAAGTCACTTGTCTGAGGACACACAGCTCCTAAGTGGCAGAGCTGGGTGGGAACCCTGGCAGCCTGGCCTTGGAGTCCTGTCCCCCACTTCACCATCACACTCCCATCTCTTTATAGTCACGATCAGTGGGCCTTTCTGCCTTGGCTCTGGAAATTAATGTGGTGCCATAATATGGATCAGTCTTTGTAGCGACTTTCCCAGTGCAGGTGACTTAGAGTTGCCGGTGTCAGAAGTGGTGTGACCACAAACCCAGCCCCATAGCTGCTCTAGCACAGGGTGACTTCTGGGGCTTGGGTCCCATCTCCTAAAGATCCGTCCATCCCAAAGCGAACCTCCACATTTGGCAGTGAGCCGCTTAGCCCTTTTTGTGTGGTAGGGTAACAGCTAACAGAGCAGCAGGAATTGAATTTTCTTAAACTTACATTACAGCGGGGGTGCTGGCTGGCTGGGCAGCTGGGGTTCCCAGGGGGCGGGCATGGCTGAGGGCTGACTGTCTAGGACTCTGGTAAAGCTGGAGCTAATGTCAAAATGTTGAAATCCTTCTGTACCAGCTGACAAACGGCTGCTGCTCTGAGTCATTGGAGGTCCCTGAGCTCCCTGCTGTCCAGTGATTCTGGGGCACGCCCGGCACAGGGGGAGGGCCCATGGGATCCTGTTGCCCAAATCTCTTCTGAGTGGTGGGTGCCCAAGCAAATATTCAAATACATCTGCATCTCTCAGTGAAGAGCTGCTACCTGAGCTGCCCAAGAGTCCTGGGGCCACCAATGGGCTGGGCGTTGGGGCTGGTGCCACCTGACATTTTGATGCCCCCTTCCCCTCCCCATAGGACCTGCTGATGGCTCATGACTTCACCAAATTTCACTCACTGAAGCCAAAGCTGCTGGAGGCGCTCGACGACATGCTGACACACGACATCGCGAAGCTCATGCCGCTGCTGCGGCAGGAGGAGCTGGTGAGCACCGAGGTGGGAGTGCAGGGTGGCGCTTTTGAGGGCACCCACATGGGCCCGTTCGTGGAGCGAGGGCCTGACGAGGCCCTGGAGGACGGCGAGGAGGGCTCCGACGATGAGGCCGAGTGGGTGGTGACCAAGGACAAGTCCAAATACGACGAGATCTTCTACAACCTGGCACCAGCTGACGGCAAGCTGAGTGGTATCAAGGCCAAGACCTGGATGGTGGGCACCAAGCTCCCCAACTCAGTGCTGGGGCGCATCTGGAAGCTGAGCGATGTCGACCGGGATGGCATGCTCGATGACGAGGAGTTCGCCCTGGCCAGCCACCTCATCGAGGCTAAGCTCGAGGGCCATGGGCTGCCCACCAACCTGCCCCGCCGCCTTGTGCCACCCTCCAAGCGGCGCCACAAGGGCTCTGCTGAGTGAGCCAGCTGCTGCTTGCCGGCCCTCCCTCCCACTTGCCTTGCTGTGGCTCCCCAGCTTTGGTCAGCTGCACATACATCCCCACTGTGGCCCACACGCACCCTGCCTGCCCACCTTCCCAGCTGTAAGGATGGGGGTCTCTCTACCCCTCACTGCCAGACAGAGGGGACCAGGAGAGGGGCAAGTCTTCTCTGCCCACCCTTCACACGTCTACCCTCACATACATTTAGGTACATCACACCGACACTAACACCACACGTAGCGGCATCCATCTATTCATCATTCAATCAAGTATTTATTGAGCACCTACTACATTCGATGTTTGGGGCTCGTTCTAGGCACTTGGGATTCCAGCAGAGAGCAAAATAGACACATATCTGCTCTCATGGAGCTGACGGGGGGCTATGTAGGAGAGAGCACCTACATAGTCACTCAAACATACACAGACACACACCTGGCCCTAACCAGTCCAATCCCTGATTCTGGGCAAGACCCTTTGCCTTTCCCCATAAATGAGCAGCGACTTGGTACAGGCCCCTGTCCCACTTCCTCTTGCCCACCCAGGCAAGGACCCCCCCACCCCATCACGTCCTCAGGCCTTGGGACTACTGGGGGCTCAGAGGGGAGACACAACCTCCTACATACTCAGATGGACCCCTCTGAGCCCCTCCCTGAGCTCTGGTCACACCCTTCTTTAATAAGGATCTTTAGGGGACAGAAAAGCCCTTTCCATTCTTGCTCCTCCCAGACTGTGCCGACTTGAGGTTATCTCTGCCCTTTGCCCACCAGCCCTGGATTGAAAGCCAGGCCTGGCCCGTTGGCCCCCACAGCTGGTGGTCTGGGTTTTAGACTGCTGGGGCCCAGCCTCGCTGTCCACCATCAGCCCATATTTAAGTGGAGCCCCTATCAGATATAAAAGACCCCAGGGCTTTATTTTAGTCCCCTTTTCAGGGATGTCCTGGGAGCGGGGGGAAGGGAAGGGCTCTTGGTGCTACAGCCCTCCCTCCCTATAGGGACCTCGAAACCCCTCACCTTTCCTGCCATCACCACATATTAGTGCTTGACTCTAGTGGGGACTCCATGGAAAAAAGGGGGAAGAGTAAAACATGTGGGGACGATGCCCCCTCCAGGGTGCTGGCTGGGATTCCCACGCTCACCATCACCCCCGCCCCATGTCTGGGAGGGGCCTGTGAACGGAATAGCGGCCCCACAGAGTGAATAAAACCAAGGCTTCTTTCCACGTGGGAGTCAGGCTGTTTTTGGATGGGCTGGGGGTGAGGGGCGCTCTGCCCCCGACCCCCCCGGGGCAGGAAATCCCCGGGCAGGACTTGAGGGGGGGGTTCCCTCTAAGTTCTCAGGGGTAGGGGTGGAGGCCATGACTCAATGCCGCGGAGCCTAATGACTCAAGCCCGGGCTGGGGGCCAGACCGACATATTTTCCGAAGAAAAGTTACTCTGGGGCCCTCCCTTCGGGACATCCCTCCCTCCCACTGCTCGCCGCGGTGGCCTGGGAACCGAGCCCTGGGGCGTGGGGTTGTGTACGCGCGAGCTTGGGCACAACGTGCCCCACCCCCCGCCCCCACCCCGCCCAGTCCGCCAAAGTACACCCATACACTGGGGTACACAACTGACACGTCACGGACAAACGGGCTCCTGGAGGGGAGAGGTGGAGCTGCCCACAGGACCACCACGTGTGCGCGCAGGCCTACGCCCAGGGGCCTTTGCTATGCAACGGACACACACCCAAGACCACACCCACGGCACCCCGGGACACTGTGGCCACGCGTTCCCCTATTCCGCGGCTTCCGGCGCCCTCTGGCGGACACTCGGGAGCTGTTGCCGAATCCCCTGTCCGAGGTGGTCGGTGCTCAGGTCTCCAGGGCCGCAATCCAGGGTCTGTCATCTCCCCAATACTCTGCGCAAGGACCCAGCTGGGTTCCCTGTGTGGCGCCTTTCTCTGTGCCCTTTTTCCTTTTTTGAGTCCAGAGCCGTCTTTATGAGGCCCTGGATTCCTTATGGGTGGTTGCCAAGGCCCAAGAGCCTCTGAGTTTCCTTCCTTATTCATAAACAGTTAAGATTTACTTGATTCAAAAATGAAGTCTCCGGAGCGAGGCAGTAATAATAGCTAACATTTAGATGTCAGGCACGATTTTAAACGCTTTATATTATTTCGTTTAATCTTCAGAATAAGCTGTGAGGCAGATGTACCATTATCTATTTTTTACAGACTTAGAAATTGAGGCAGATCTAATAAGTAGCTTGCCTAAGATTAATGATTCTGAGTCTGCGCTTCTAGGGTTCTAATAGTGTATGTTTCTAACATTCCTCGCATATAAATTTCCGTGCCTCCTACCTCGACATTCCGAAAGCTCTTTGATTCTTCAGGATTCTGGGATTGGAACATTGAGCAGCCACATGTTCTTTGAAATTGGAACGTGTCTTGCGCTGCATCAGCCATTGACGGTTCAGATTTTTCTTTTTTAAGAAAACTAGACTAAAAATAATCAACAAATAAAAAATTAGAAATAATATTCGGATTTTAAAAATATTCCTGAGCGGCCGGGAAAGTTTGGATTAGGCCTGAGCCAAGAACTTAAAACCCGCCGCCAACAGAAATCTGCAAAGGAGAAACCATTTACCCTTTATCAAGATGGTTGACTTCCGGCGCCTTTGATGCTTTACCAAGATGGCAGACAACGGAAGTGGGTCTCGGGAGTGAGCCGTATAGCTGCGCGCGCATGCCCCGAACCGGCTTTTCGCCCCCACTGTCTGGAGTCATCCTTTAACAAGATGGCGGCAGGAAGCAGTGGCGGTGACGGCAAGCTCCGCTCGAAAAGCGAGGCCGATTCCGGCTTCCTGGGGCTGCGGCCCACTTCGGTGGACCCGGCGCTGAGGCGGCGGCGGCGCGGCCCAAGAAATAAGAAGCGTGGTTGGCGGCGCCTCGCTCAGGAGCCTCTGGGGCTGGAGGTTGATCAGTTCCTGGAGGACGTGCGGCTGCAGGAGCGCACGAGCGGGTGCGTGGGGCCGGACTTCAGGCGTTTGGGCCACCTGTTGCGAGGCTAGCGTGCTCCCGGGGGAGTTCTGGGAGATTGGGAACACCTGTCCCTGCTATACCTGGGGAAGCTGAGAGCATAGGCTGGGGACTCGGTGGGTAGCTGGGGGACTGGGTAGGGTTACCAGGTGCAGCATGTCCATTTAAATTAGAATTCAGGTAAACGAGTACTGTGATTTGTTAGCGTGTGTATGTCCCATGGACCCATTGTAGTTTGGTGCATTTTAAGTATTAAAGTTCTCTAAGCTGAAGGGAGAAGCCTTAGCCTGGAGGGGTCCCATGCTGGCGAGGGGATGCTTGAGTGAGCAGAAGAGGAAAACTGGGCCCTGAGAGCTTAACCAAGTCCTTCCGTAGCATCTTGCTCCCTCCCCAGTATCTATGGCTGACATTCTGTATTTCCATCTCCCAGAGGGTTGGTATCAGAGGCCCCCGATGAAAAACTCTTTTTCCTGGACACCGGCTCCAAGGATAGAGGTGAGGAAAGGCTTTTGTGTTGTTGCAAGGCGATGATTGGTCGTTATCTAATCCCCTTCAGCCTCTGAGAGGTTCTGTGTTAATGAAACGGCTTGGATGGCAAACACCTGCTATGAAGGGGCTTTACTATAAACAAGAGGATCTGGAATGATCAGAAAGCAGGCTAGAGACTAAAAACAGTCAGATTTTCTTTTTGAGGCATCAGAGATCTTAGTACACAGAAAAGCCGCAGGGGTCTGCCTTGATGAGTAGATTAGACAAAACATCAGGTTTCATGAATTTGTAGAAAAGCAAGTCAAGGATCTGCTGTAAGGAATGAAACCAGTTTTAATTAATAAAATATGCGTTAATAAGAAGTAGAGGATCTATTTCAATGAGTGTTTGAGAAACTTGTTTTATCCTGCTTGCCACAAATTGCCAAAATGCAGGGTTGGAATGTGCAGAAACAAGTGGAGAAGTGAGGGATTGTTAGGGTTTACGCCATACCTGGAAAAACAGACTAAGAATAGGCAATCTGCTTTAACGTGGGGCTAGAAAACAAGCTCAGGGCTCTGCTTTAGTGGGAAAGCTGATAGCTTTCATGAGCAAAAGGCAGGCTGCTTTAACAGCAGGACACCCTTAATGATCAATATGAGATCAGTCAAGGGGCCTGTTTTAACCAGAGCATGGGGACCTGTTTCAGTGAACAGAAATTGAGTAAAAGGACCTGCTATCAAACAGACTTTGAGCAAGCAGGTAAGAAAGGGTTATTACAAAGGTTGACTTGCACAGAAATGAGTTGATCTGGGCTATCGATAAAAAGGTAAGTCAGGGGATTTGCCCTAGTGAACAGGTGAGGAAGTAGTGAAAGCCTGCTTTGGCCATAGGCAGTCCCTTTGAACAGAAGAGAGGCAGTTTATAGATTCTGCTTTAGGTTAAAGAAAAGAAAAAAAAAGTACATAACAAGTGATGGTATGTTTTAAGTAAAAGGCAGAAAACCCTGTTGTGCTGAGAATCGCCCAGCCTGGGGTCCGAGTCCAGCTCCCTGGGCCTCAGTGTTGCCACCAGCTCTCTTCTTTGTTAGTGTTACAGGTTCTGGGGTTGTTTCCCTACTGTCTGGAAGCCCCTCGTGTGCAATGCTGTGCCTCTGACTCTGTCCCCAGCACAGGGCTGCATCCAGCTGGCCCAAGGAATGGGTGTGGTGGGGGTCAGAGCTTGGGCACCTTGGGCCTTTTCCCTCAGGTGGGAGCCTGGGGTCAGCCTGGGGCCTCCAAGTCTTCATTGGGATGCAGGTCTGATGGCCCCAATGGAGGTGTAATGTGGGGGTGGGGAGTCTTGGGATGTAAGGAGGCCTGAGGCCTTGATGCCTCTCCTTTCTCTCACTCTCAGAGCTGAACAAGAAGAGGACCAAAGGCCAGAAGAGGTCACTGCTTCTTAAGAAACCCCTTCGGATCGACCTCATTCTAGAGAACACATCCAAGATCCCTGCTCCCAAAGAGTGAGTGTCCTGCCAGTCCCACACCCTTGTTTTCTGCTGCATTGGGCCTAATGTCCTTCTGTGCAGCAGCCCCCACTTACTTTCTGGCCCTAAAGGAATTGCTGGGGAGGGAGGGGGCTAGGTGAGGGTCAGATTTGGGCTTTGGAGAACGGATTGGAGGGAGTGAGGCATGGGGGTGGAGAGGAGGGGATGGTTGGGAGCCGTCATCAGGAGGTGGAACAGACAGGGCTTAGTGACTGACCCCTGAAGGAGAGGGAGGGTGTAGGTGATGGCAGGGCTGTCCCTGAGATGGGGATGTGGGAGGTAGAGTGGCTTTGGGGGCAATGCTGAGGTCAGTGATAAAAGTGGGGTGTGAGGTGCCTGGGAGACATCCGGGGCAAGGGTCCCAGAGGCTGTTGTGTTGTTGGGCCTGGGGTTTAGGAGAGAGGCCTGGGCTGGAGACAGATCTGGGAAGATGCTCTCTGAAGCTGCTGGACAGAGTGAAGAGTAGAAGGAGCTGGGAGGAAGCGCACTCTGTGGAGGGTTCTTGAGACAGGAGATGATGGAGGAGGAGCTGGGCCCTTTCTCAGGCCTCTGCCTTACCCACTTCACCCGTGCTGCTTCTCTCCGCCCCAGCATCCTTGCCCACCAGGTCCCTAACGCCAGGAAGCTCAAGCGGAAGGAGCAGCTATGGGAGAAGCTGGCAAAGCAGGGCGAGGTGCCCCGGGATGTGCGCAGGGCGCAGGCCCGACTCCTCAACCCTCCTGTGGCCAAAGCCAAACCTGGGCCTCAGGACACAGTAGAACGGCCCTTCTACGATCTCTGGGCCAAAAATAGTAAGTGTCTCTGCTTTCACCTGTGGGTGGGGACAGGGCTGCCGTACACAGTTGTGCAGGTTGTGCACTGCACAAGAGCTCCGTGTCTTAAGGGGAGGGGGGTGCCCTGTGGCTGTTGCTTTGACAATCTTCACAGAGTCAGGAGACTTCAAGTGGTGCCCTTTTCCCATGTGTGCTCCACGTTCTCGAGTGGGCTTTCCTGAGGGCTGGCTCCTGCCCCTCAGCCATGGGTCTCCAGCCTCCTGGACCATGTCCAGATGCTCTTGTGCCTGGCTTTTGAAGCCGTGTGGGGTCTGAGAATCAGTCCTTTCCTCGCCTTGGCTTATGAAAGGGGGAAGGATCAGAGGGAGCCGCTTAGGCCAGGGTGTTCCCCACACTGGAAAGCCTCCAGCAGCTGCCCTCACTGCCTCCACAGACCCTCTG